CTTTTTTAAAAAAAATTCTTTTCCCTGGCTCACCCTTACTCTTGTTTCGTCCACTGACCTCATTGCCACACAAGTCCCTTAGCACGTGGTTGGTCCTGCTAGAGGCCTTCTGCAGGTGTTCTTTGGGAAGCTTTATGGCCAAGGCTAGAAAATGATTAACCAGCTAATTAACTGGAATTTCTCAAAACACAAAACCACCAGCTGTTTTCATTGTTTACTAAACTATCTGGTAAACTCTTGGAAGACTATCACCTGCCTTTGTGTTGGGAATGTTTATGACAGACAGTTGTCTCCAGGTGACTGTTAACAGTAAAGACTCCAGAGGAAAGAAATTAATTGATGCAGCTGAGTTCTTCCTTGTTCTTGTAGATTTTTTTGAAGATGTCATAATTTTTCTGCCTGTCTTGTTGTTGTGTATCTTTCTCTTATGTAACCACAGAGTAGTTTTACTTATTGATATAGAAACTATCTTTCCAAAACACCAATCTATTTTGTGTTTAGCTTTTTAAATCAATCTGGAGGAAAAATGTTCCTCTTTATTTGGTTTAGCGCCAGCCAGCATAATCCTGGGCCTTCACAGCTTACCCTCCACCATGCATTCATTGCCTAGAAATGTAAAACCTTTTCATTACCGCACGAAGAAGAAAATGAGGAATAAAGCACGCTGCCAAAAGCTATGCAAAAATTACATCCAACAGCCCAAAATATTTTCAATTTGGAATTATTTATCCTAAGGTTTTATATAATGTATATAGATGGTAAAAATTGATTGGATTTTTGAAGCAAATAATTTTTTTTTATTTATTTATTTGAGAGAGAGAGAGAGAGAGAGAGAGAGAGTGGTGTGTGTGTGTGTGGCCAGCTCAGCCCACCAGGGGGCGGGGCTGGCTGGCATGTGGTGCTGGGGGATTGAACCGCGGTCTCTTGATGCTTTACTAAGCTTGTTCTAAATAGGTGCTTTAGACCACTGAGCCATCTCTCCAGCCCCGTGAAGCAAATAATTCAATAAATGACAGGTGTGATCATAGCTTCCCCCCCTTAAAAAAAACCCTTTTAATAATGTAGAAAAGCAATACTCATGGTCAGTGCCTTAAGACTTTTCAGATCTTCAAAGGAGGTTATAAATAAGGGTGCCCCTGAGATGAGTGGATGCATATTTGTTTTTGTGTTTATTTCTACGTATACTCTCCATTTAGCATTTGTAAGTAGAGAACAAGTTTGTGTCACTTCAATGAGAGTAGTTAGTCCAAGCCAACTGTTTCATAAATATATAGACTTTTGGGTAAAACCTATCTAGCTTTTCTATCCTGTCTGCTTGTGTTTAAATGCTCTCCTTTTGAGTCTCTAAATATTACTGCCATGAAAAGGAATAAAAGTTCAACATATCAATACTTGATGAAAAATACCTGCTCCTTATTGTGCCTAAGATGTTTGAAATGCAGTGAGATAGTGAGGTTAACCTTAATAGCCTAAATCGTTTGATAATAATAATAAGCTTGTCTTCTGGATGGTTCACAACCTAAGTTTGCAGACCAAAATTAAGAGAAAAAAGAGGGCTACAAGGAAAGCCAACATTTTGGCCCTAACCTTCTAAGGTGAATTAAGACTCAGGACATATGAGAACTTGTACTGTAACGTCATGTACCTCAGTAGTGTCCCAAATTTTCTGATCAAGAAGATTATGGGGCCAAAGAGGAAAGTGATCGATGACGTAGAGTGTTCCTAAGGAGAGTCACATGGGGAGAAAACACTCTCTCAGGCTTTTACAGAAAGCACATTGGCCAAGCAATGGCCGTGACTCATCCACATGGCTGACACTGACAAAGGATCTACAATCTGAGGTACAGAATCTCTGGATAAATCCTGAGGGGATTTCACTGACCTTCTCAGACCAAAAAGCTACAACTCCTGTTGCAAAGGTCCTGCTTTACCTTGGTCTTAACCATCCAGTAGAAAAGTATGAAGACGAAATACAGGAGGTAAAGCCATGCTGTTATGTTGAGCTGTGGGGGACTCAGGTCAATAATTTCTGACATTGCCAGTTAAACAGAAGACCCAATGCTATTATGGTCTACTGGACTCTTTTAGAATATTTTGCTGAGTTTACACACCTATAATATTCAATAACGGAACTTCGAAAAAATAGGGTATACAGATGAATGTCCATTTTGTATCTGTGTATTCAAAGTGGTTAGGATAGATATATAGTTGCATTCTCTTAATGAATAGAATGATTTGTTCTAATGGTGTTTGTAGATAGGATATCATGTCCGCATCTTGTACAGCAATTAACCACTAAGAAGAATATATGCAGCGTATTATTTGTTGAAACTGTACTTCCTATTTGATTTGAAACTGTCTCATTGCTGTTTATCAATAAAATTTTGGAAAAAAAATAAAAAAAAATTTTAAAAAAGGAATAAAAGGCCCTTGGACAAATGCTTCTAATTCTGAGGCAGCAAAGGTGCAGGATAAGCTGAAAAGTCTCCTACCAGAAGGCAAGGAAGTTACCAGAGTCACAGGAACTTGAAGGGCTTCAGTGTTTCCAAACTTGTATCAATAAATATGTAAACTACAATGGATTGAGACGCATCAGATTTTTTTTTTTTAAGCACTGGGTATTGAACTCAGGCCCTTGCACTTGGCAGGAAAGCACTTATTCTATTGAGCCATCTCCCCAGCCCTAGATATATATGTTTTATATAATTAAACCTGTATTTGATTTGATATTTGTTAAATGTTAAATATATTACATTTTAATACATATCTGTTAAGTATGTATTAAATATTTTAATCCATGAGTTCATAATTATACAGTACAATACTTCAAAAATTAAAAAACCTCTGGCCATGTTTGGACACTATTAGAGACCACATCATTTTGAGAACTGGTAAATGAAGCAAATCTGGCATCTATTCTGCCTTTTTTTTTTTTTTTGGAACCGGGGATTGAACTCAGTCCTTTGCGCTTGCCAGGGAAGCACTTATTCCACTGAGCCATCTCCCCGGCCCCTTGCCTTTTTTATATGAGCTGAAACTGAGGATACCTAAGAGAGAACTTTCTCATTGTAGAATTATTCCAGCTAATAAATGAAGAGTGAAGACTAGAATACCACTTTCAAGTTTCTAATGAATCATTGAATCTAAGCAAGTGTCCGTAGTTAACAGTGCGTCAGCAGGAGCCAGCCAGACATTATGTGGCCCTGGATGGAAACACAGACACTGCATGAAGCTGCCCCTTCCAGGGGCACTAGAGTCAGATCAAGCCCATAGATCAGATTACACTTTAAGAAGACTACAAAAGGCAGAGTGTAGGATTAACAACACCAGTAGGATACAGTGCACAAAATCCAGAATTGGAAACTGCTACACAACTTAGTTCCTTCAACAACACTACACAAAATTACAAGGGAAGACTGGAGTTTAAGAAACATACAGATAATAGAAATCTAAGGAACCTATCAAAACATCACAGTGTATGAGCGTTATTTGAATCCACAGCCAACAGATTTGTGTTCAGATATCACGATGCTTAATTGATCATATGAAAATGATCATATTTTTAGGTGTGATAATACTATTGTGATTAGTATTTTTTAATACTAAAGATACTGGCCTTATCTTTTAGAGACACACACTGAAATATTTATAACGAAATGATGTGATACCTGGCACTTACTCCATAAACTGGCTTAAGGGTCTGAGGAGGACCGGCAGAGCAGAGTTTTTAGTGTAAATGAAACAAGATTGATCAAGTATTGACACCTATAAAGCCAAGAAGTAACAATTGCTGGTCTGTTTTTTTTCTTTCTCTCTCTCTCTCTCTCTCTCTCTCTCTCTTTCCTTTTATATATATTTTTAAAATTCCAAAATAAAAGTTTATAGGGCCAGCAAGATAGCTCAGTAGACTAAGCATCTGCTTTGGCAAACACAGGGACCAGGGTTCGATTCCTAGTCCTGCATGCTGCTCTGGTCCCACCCCTGGGGTGATCTGAGCTGGTAAGCAAGTCTGGGTGTGGTAGTGCGCACCTGTAATCCCAGCACTGGGGAGGCTGAAAACAGGAGGCTCACTGAATCTGAACTGGGTAGTGAGACCCTATACCAAATACATAAATGGAAAAAAAAGTTTATGCATATATATGCATATGCATTCTCTAAATTTAATAATGCTGTAAAGTTTCACCCAGGTTTAAATGTTTAAAAAGACTCCTTTAGCACTACATATCTATTAATTAACATGGCAAACTCTTAAGACACTGACTTGGAAACACTTACAGTGAAGTACTGTGATTATGAAGTCGTGTAAAACTAAAATAATCTGGTGTACTGCTGTAGATCTGCTAACTTCATAATATCACACATAAGCCTAAGATCAAAAGTGAGGCTCTAAACTGTTATAAATTAGGAATTTTAGGACCTAGGACCTAAAATTAGGAATTGTGATCTAGGGCCAGCAGGATAGCTCAGCAGACCAAGTGCTTTCTTGGCAAGCTAAGAGACCATGGTTCAATCCCTTGCATCACGTGCCAAGCCAGCCCCACCCCTGGGCACACTGAGACAGGGCTTGGTGGCACACACCTGTAATCCCATCACTAGGGAGGCTGAAAACAGGAGGCTCACCATGAGTCTGAGCTATGTAGTGAGGCCCTGTACCAAATACATTTTTTTTAAATTGTGGTCTATTTGGGCGAGATGGAAAAGTTAATGTGTGAAAAATTTGTCAAATGCAATAATGGTTGGCACATACAGGGAAAATAGGAGAAAAGGGTAAGCTAAGAAAAATGGGCCAGGGACATAGCTCAGTGGCATAAGTGCCCGCCTGGCAAGAGCAAGGCATTGAGTTTAATCTCTGGTACCCACCAAAAAAGAAAAGTCTGAGGCTGAGATGCTTTTATATCGCTAGCGCTCTGTTAGGATCCATTCTTCGGTGATCTCCTTTAGTCACATTAATTTTTTTGCCATCAGGGTAAATAAACTTCTTTTTGATTGCTTTTTCCTAGTTGGGGAATGGCGGTCAATGTGTATTCTACCTCGATAACCCAAGAGACGATGAGCAGACATGACATCATCGCATGGGTTAATGACATAGTATCTTTAAACTACACGAAAGTGGAGCAGCTTTGTTCAGGTAAGAGATCATCTTTTAAGTATTTCCCTGAAATGTTTACTGACTTGAAGAATGTAGTTTTATGAACCATACATGATATGTTTTGGGTAGGAAAAATGTGTATCAGTTTTGATATATAATTAGAGGAAAAAATTCAGGTATAGCTCAAGAACCAATGGGAGCAAAGGTCTGCTCGTCTGAAAGCGTCAGGCTGTCCTGACACGGTTGTGAGTTGCCTCTGACTTGTTCTCTGTAACTGCTCCTCCTAACTGTGTCTCCTGCCCTCTTCTCCCTCCTGCATTTGCCCCCACATTTACTGCTCGCCACAAAGTCGATCTTGCAGCACCCTTCTTTACAAACCTTCAGGACCCCACAGTGTCTGTCCTCCAGGATGAAATTCTGTCTTATGTGACTAATACGGTCCTCTTCTTTCTGGTTGCCGCTTCTCCATCTTCTCAGTTTTATCCCCCCCATCCTCCCTCTCCATACCCAGCCCCACAAATCACTCCTACTTCCCTGAAGACTGCTCCCCTTGACATCCTCTAGATTTTTTTTTTCACACTCCCTTGGCTTAGAGGGTCTTTCTCCTCCTTGTTTGGGTAGTCCTGGCTACACTTGGAAGCGCAGCTCACCTGTCAGCCCCTCAGTGAAGTGTTCCACGCTTCCAGGTGCCTGCGTGTTCCCAGCGCACTGCCCTCCCTCCAGAGTGACCTGCATCAGGCTGTGTCATGTCTGCTTCCTCCTCCCCAAAGGAAACAAGAATTCTTGAGAATAGGCTCATATTTTATTTTTTGTTAAATGCCTGGGTGGCTTTATTACTTGCTACCAAGAAGATCTGCAGAGTTTGCACATTGAGTTAAACTTGTTTAAAAAAGGAAAACTTGATTTCAGTAATAAAGTAGGAACATATATAAGTCAAGTAATTCATTCTTAGGTTTAAGTATTTATCAAGGAAATAGTCCCCCTTTGGAAACAAAAACTACTTTCTTCTTGTAAACTAAGATGTAAAAAATTTCCGCTACTTCTGGCTCTAATATGACAATGTTATGAGAAAGTAGAAAACATTACTGAGATATTTTGGGGTAAATGAGAGCTACGAAGTACCAAAGACTCATCAGTTTCAGCCAATGCCTTGGTATTGGACGTTATGCTGTCTTTCACAGTGAATCACCTGTAAAAACAGCTTCATGCCACGCAGTCAGAATTTGGCACACTCTGGTGGTCAGTGCATCCAGCACCCACCACTTTAAGGTAGTCTGTCTTGATCGGAATACATTAGAGGACTAAGGTTTGCTTCCAGCAACATAGCTTCCTCCTTGATCCTTTTTCCCATGAGAAAGGCACTGTGATTGGCTGTGCATTGCCTTCCCCACCTCTCTGCGCCTGCAACTCAAGCGTGAAGTACTGTGACGTCAGCCAGGAGAGATGGGAACTAACCAGTTTTTTGTCCTTCAGTACAAGTTACAGAAGAGTGAACTATGACTGTGATGTTATAGCAGATATGTATCTCATTGGCCTACTGAAATGGCCCTAAGTTACTTTCAGAAACAGTTCTTAGAGTAGCTTACTCAATTCCACTCACTCAGATATTACTGTGCTGTTCTTTGCTGAGCATTCTAGTGCTTTCTAATATTTTCATTTTACTTTGGTAGGGAAAAAACACTAGCATGTTAGCACGCCTTTGGTTCCTAGCACACACCACTGTGAACTGAAATCACCCGTTATCCATAGCGCAGTGTTCTTTCAGAAATGCACATTTGGAGGATGAACACAAAGCAGTTTGCAACTACTAAGACACAGAGACAAAAATGTGGCTCTTACCCACAGTGTGGACGTGTATAAGCAAGATAAGGGGAATGAGGTTGGTTATCAGGCAAAACAGAAATAAGAAGGAAATAGGGAAAAGTGTTATGGAGAACATTTCTACTTTGATCTTAAATGTTTAAAGAATCCCCGAGGAGCTTCTCATGCAGTACAGGTTGAGAATTTTTGGTTGCAAATAAAATGAGAGCAAATTAGAATTTTTAAGGGTACAGTAACAAATGTTTACATATATATATTCTCAAATTGCAGATCTCTAAAATTTCCCACAAGGTAAATTCAGTAAAATTTTAAGAGCATTCATGAAAGATTCTTGTATTGTTACCTTAAAACATAAGCATGTGAAAAGAAACAGATCACATTTAAAGGAAAACCCATCAGAATAACGGCAGATTTTTCTTCACAAACCATCAAGTCAAGGAGAGCATGGAACAAAGTACTTCAAGTCTTGCACGATAACAAATTCCAGCCCAGACTGATGACATATCCTACAAAACTATCTTTCAAATATAATGGAGAAGTGAAATATTTTCATGACAAAGAACAACTAAAGAATTTCATGATGACAAAGCCAAGCCTACACAGACTACTAAATGAGGTTCTAGAGAGGGAGCAAATTGATCACAGCCCCATGAATGAGAATGGAAAGAACCCATCAAATAGGGCAAACAGGAGAATAAGAGGTATACAATAGTAGTCTTTTAGTTATTCCTTTGTGTTCAGCAGCAGAATATTTTCACCAGCACACCCTATAAATGGACTTCTCTTCCACCCTATGAGTCATGATTCCACCTGAGTCTACAGAGTGGATTTCAAAGAAATGGCTGTAGCTCAGTTCTGCAAGTGACGCCTAGCCACCAGTAACTGTCACAGTCATTATGCATGTCCACAACACACTAGAACTTTATGCAGTATCTTATCCTCAAACCGTTAGAAGTGCTGGTCATTTACTTGCCACTCCAGTATTTATCTTGTTTTACTCTTAGTACTTCTTTGCTATCATGAAAACTTTTTCTTAGTTCAATTGTTTTGAAACATTTAATTTTCTGAATATTGCTTAATCTTAATTTTTGTTCTAAGATTTATACTGTATCTTTGACATACAATTTATTTAAAAGACATCATATGATATCTTCTCCTAGTATTAGAAATTTTAAAAAGCATATTTCCATTTTCTGTTGACTTAAAAAAAAACAGGTTTGTACCTATGTTGTTTATTTATTATTTCTTGCCTATATCTTGTAATATGAGAAACTACTTTGGCAGTAACAATACACAATGTACTAACCATTGTTACTCCTAAAATCTTGTTTTGAGATTTTGTACCATTGTTTTTATTTTTTTCTTTAAAATAAAAATAACTGATGTAAAAAAAAAAAAAAAACATAAGCATGCATTTGAGAACCATTTGTCGCTACGTTGCCATCATCAAATGTACTTGATCAGAATATGTAGGCAGCATTTTCATCACTGCTGAACAGGCATAATTTCCATTAGGGTAACTTCTGGCAACCTAAGGTTGCAAGGTTGGTTTAAAAGTGTGAGATTTAAAGGTTCCTTTCTGCTGGAAACATGTTTCTTGCTGGAAAATAAACCTGTTAATCTCCATACTAGAGAGAGATCTTTTACTTTGGGTAGTTTTCTCTACATCAAATATAACCATTTAAAAAAAATTTTTTTAGGGGCCGGGGAGATGGCTCAGTAGAATAAGCACTTCCCTGGCAAGCACAAGGGCCTGAGTTCAATCCTCGGTTCCAAAAACAACAACAACAACAACAAAATTTAAGGGAAAGTGGTGGAGGAAACTACAGGTGGAGTTTATATATCACAGTGGAGCAGATGCATGTGTACTGAAAAGGCAGTGCTTGGAGACCCTTGACCTGCTGAGGCAGTACCTTTGGGAGTGTAGCTTCAAAATCTGCAGTTTCAAAAAGCAGCCTGTGTGCTTTTGTGTGTAGCCTAGAGCTTGCAGGACATTTTTGGGAAGCCCCAAACCTCTAAAAGTAAAATTATCCAAAATCTGTCTGGCACCAAGTCCTTATTCATAATTTAATCTGCAACTTTTCTTTTCAACAAGGACACTTAGCAGGAGGAAGCTATCTTCTTAATTATTTATGAATTTATTTATTTATGCCCTTCATTGTTCTAGAAGACATTTAAAGCAGCTAGGACTGTACTGTTAGGATACGAACAAGTCCAGAGGTTGTTGACCTATGAGATTTATCCTCAGTAGTCAAACTTTGGAGCTAATGTTTTTCTTCAGTGTTTAATTACTTTTAGTTTACTGTGTAGGGTTTTATTTTAGTAGCATGCGTTGGAAAAACATGCACAAAATACTTTTTCCATGTCTACATTTGTTGTTGTTGTTCAACCCGCTTTCTTACTCTGCTTTATGAAAACTTATGTTCCTGTCTTGGTCACGCCATTTTTGAATTGTTCCCCTATTTTTCCCCTTTTTCTTTTTTCTTTTTTTTTTTTTTTTTTTTTTCTTTTATCTCCAGCTAAACCATCTCCCTATATAGCTCAGTATTAAAACTAGGATCCGTTTTTCTTCAGCTCATAAAGAACTGAAAATAGAACTTCACATTGAAGTTGCATTTTCCCCAGAATTTTCTGTCCCTTTGTAATATCTCTTCTGTTTCTATATAAGCATTTTAAAAATTTTTTTAAAGGGGAGATGGTGTGAGAAGATAGTACACTTGGGAACCCCCTGTAGTAAATTGCTAAACAATAAAAATTACTCATTCCTATCTCCTGGTATTTTATCCCAAGATGTAACTTTATGAGCTTTTCTTTGAGCAGTAAATCTGGGTCATGGGCTTATATGCACTTCGTTTGCATTCATTTCTTAGAAAACCCCTTTGGTAACTTGAGATCTCTTAATAGAAATAATTTAAAAATGGTGGATTGTAATGGGAAGGAAGAGGAAGAGCAACAGGACCAGGAGTCTGACAGGAGCAGGAAGGGCACCTCTTCTTGCCCGCGCCCTCCCCTGCGCCAACGTGCCAGGCCTCCTTGAAGCACAGTTCCAGAGCGCACTCGGCTGTGCCGGCGCCTTGCCCGGGGGCTGCGGCTGAGCAGCGGAGCCCCCAGGCTGCCCTCGGTCGGCGCCTTCGCTCCCTGCCCTGCCCACTGCCTCTCTGGACCGGACAGCTGCAGCCTGACAGCAACTGTTGCGTGCACACCACCCACGGGGATGG